GCATTTAAAATTAAAACATGACTCGCTGCATGTATAGACGGCGTCGTGCATGAGATGTGCACCGCCTTCAATCGGATTGGCCGTGGCCAGTCCGCAAATAGAAATTAACACCATCACAAATGTCAGTGGGAGGCATCGTGAGTCTGTGGGTGTCCGTGTGAGTCTGTGAGTGTCTGTATGAGTCTGTGGGTGTCGGTGTGATTCTGTGGGTGTTGGTGTGAGTCTGTGGGTCTTGGTATGAGTCTGTGGGTGTCCGTGTGAGTCTGTGAATGTCGGTGTGTCTGTGAGTATCTGTAGGAGTCTGTGGGTGTCTGTATGAGTCTATGGGTGTCTGTATGAGTCTGTGAGTGTCGGTTATGAATCTGGGAGTGTCCGTGTGAGTCTGTGGGTCTCTTCTGAGTCTCGAGACTATATTTTTTTCAGGAGGGTCCTGCATTTGATTGTGTTTGTTGCCCGTAAGAGTTTTTTATGGGAGGGTTAGATCACGTAAATAAATGTGTCGTTAAACTCGCCACCACCCGACACAGCCAACTGGTAAGGTTTGTCACGTAAACAGAAGGTGGCCAATTCGTCACCAGTACAGCACACCGGTGTGTTGGAGAGCCAAGCCACAACATTTACAATCTGAGTACGACGTTTCGCCGGTAATTACAACTAGCTTCATCAGGCGACAGCCAGATTTGTGGAGAAGTCCACCTGTTTCGTTCCTTATATAGAGGCGTAGATGTTTTGACCTCCCTTCTGCGCTCTTGCGCAAAGTGGTGGGGGGGGGGATTACTGAGTCAACGTACATTATGCATGTGCATCATGCGAACCCTTTGATCTTGTCCTTCCTGTCTATTGTGTGTACTAAAATAGCCGTGCCAACGGTAATCCCTATTGGAGTATGGTGGCCTTTATAGACATGCATTTAAATAATCTATTATCTGATGATTCGCTTCCACGCAGCACTAAGGCGGTAGCTATCGAACGGTTAAAATTCTTTAAATTTCTTTCAATTTCGATAGATTATCCAATTAGTCTTGGCCAGTAGTAGCGAGTTTTACACATAACTTCAACATGATTAAAATCGGGTGGTGGTGGGTTTTAACGACACATTTATATTATTTGGGTCTTTCGCTAAAGTCACGCAGGGGGCCCTCTTCTTTCCTCCTGATGACGATCGCTGGTGTTGTGATCGAAACGTCGTAGTTTTTGTTTATTTTATTTGTATTAATTTGAACCTATCTACGTGTCTTTACCGAGAGACCCACAGAATATGAATTCCTGCAGTCACGAAAGCTTTAAGTCAAGATTTTACACATTTATATATTTACGCGATGTAACCCCGAAAGGAACCTCTATTATGGATGATGTTGGTCGCGATAGCATGCTACGTGTCAAACTGTATTGGTTGTGTTTTGTTGTGTTTTGTTGTGTTTTGTTGTGTTTTGGTCAATTTCATTGATGAGCGCTAAGCCACGTGGGAAGACACCAGAGCACCTGAGGGGAACAAACAAAACATCGCCACGACACGACACGTGGTCCCCACAAATGGATTCAGGTCCCACCTGCTGCCTCTCCTGCTACGTCCCGGCCACCTCGCAGCTCTACTCCGAGTGAAACATGTTTTGGTCTCGTGACAAAGCCTCACCAATGGCGGAATCACAATCCCGTGCGGATGCCACAAAGTGTTGCGGCGACATCCATCATCGTGCCGTATTGTGAGCCAGTGTCACTACGTCCCCCACGTTCACCTTCCCCGCACCGACCGGCATGGCGAAGTATGGTCAAGTAACCCCCAGCGACGCGCGCGGCGCGGCGAGGCCCTCGTCCAGCGGCGGCGGAGTGACGTAAGGCACCTGCGATGAGCACGGTCGGCTAGGTGCGGTGCGAAAGAAGTTCCACACGCGTACAAGGCGTCCTTAAGTGTGCACGCACGTGATTGTGAGCCCAGAGAAAGCCTCGACATTGCCCCTTTGAGAAAGGAAAGCGAGAGGCGCAGCTCCAGGACGCCGTCTCGTCCCGGCTGGCGGTTACTCGCGACCCTTCCCTCGGTCGCCAGCCGAGGAGGGTGGCGGTGGCCGCCACCTGCCCGCGAGCGCAAGGGGAGACGCCGCCGGGGCGAGTGGAGCCGCCCTCTCGCCTTGGGGCTCGTCGCTGCTCGTGCGGGCAGCAGCGGAGCGAGCCTGGGGGGGGGGGGCTTGCCCACACCCCCCGGTGGGCGGGGCTACGAGATGGGGCCTCCTTGACAAACACCGTGAGATGTGTCTTCAATAACAACAACACGCATTTTAAACGCGGTTTAAATTAATGGTAATGAAAATGATTTAATCTAAGTTCCACGTTTTATTTTGATTGAATTCTAGCAGTCTTGAGGCCCCACCTGCACGGCTGAGCTGACAATGTCGCTACTCCGCCACTGGTGGAGGGGCAAAGGATCTCGAAAACCACATCGCGATGTTAATTGAGCACCGCTTTTCGAGAAGTCAGCATCGATTGTCATAAAGACCTTCCCCCCGCCATAAGAATGTGGAATTTCCACCGATGGCTCAGGGCTATCAATGGAGACGAGTAGGAAGTCAACGGGCCCCGACGTGAATTTGTGGTTGAGCCAGGAGAGCCCCAACGGGTCTCAGGGATTCCTTGCACGGGAGGTCCAGTGCTGCAAGTTGAGCTCATCCATGAATGAATGAACGTCACTTGTTGTGGGAGGAAAGCAGTGGTTTTGGGTAATACTCACTCGTGCTAGGTCCCGACACACGCTCATTTGAGCCAAATACTTTTGACATTGAACTTTTATGTTATCGTACATTTTGTCCCCGCTTTCATGAGCGAGAGATTATAAATAATGTCCCGAAGAGAGCACACGGAGGCACCGTCTCGTGCAGCCGGCGCTTTGTTTTCACCTGTCACCTGCCGCTTCGCCTCCTGCTGCGCGAAACAAACATTCGGCCAAAACTTCTGACGGGCACAGGTGGGGGAGCAGGCAAGCCACCGCGCGGAAGGCGAGCGAGACCCGCGACGGAGAAAGTCACTTCTCCAAGTCCGTACGGAGACTGGGACCGACCCGGGGTGCCGGGGGCAGTGATCCACGCAGCATCTCCATGGCCCTCGCCTCCCAGCGGGAGCCTCGGTAGTGATGGGCGCACGTGGGACAGTGGCACTCGGCCTTAATAAAGGCGACGCGTAATGAGTTGGGTGATTGGTCGGTTGAGAGGTTTTTTCGTGTGTTCGCGTGTGAGCGAAATGTCACCGTGGCTCTGGAAGCTCGTGGCGTAACACGAACTGCCACCCCGACCTCGGGCGACCTCCCCGTGACGACGCCGGATGTCACCACCGGCCTCAGCACCCCACACGGTGCGGTGCTGCAGTTGATGGTTGGGAATTAAGCTAAATGTCACGTGGCCATCACACTTTCAAATTGAGTCTCACCTTAAGAATCTGCAGACATTAGCAGGAAGTGACGTCCCTATGGATCGACTGTTCCTCACCGTAGAAATGTTGAGTTTCAGCACAAATCATCAAGTCGCTGTGATTTCTATTGACAAAATGTGCCGACAGACATTCCACGACGCAGGTTAAACACAAAGACAAAATACACGTGTCTGGGTTTCTATTGCTTACAAGTTATTTGTGAATACATTGGTTTTAATACAAATGTTGTACAAAGCACACTTAGACCACCCTGCAATTTTGTTGTAGATTTTAAAAGCAATTCATTAATTATATATATACATCCATATACATGTCCGTTGAGATTAATGAAGCATTAGTAAAGGAACTATAGGTTGACCGCACACTTATTGATGGATGCCTCGTATTTCACGAGAGACTTAAGGATACATTAATTGCCTGGTGCACGGCTGGATGATTCAAAGGCATCACCGCTGTAATTGACAGACATGTGAAGGGATAGAGATGCGTGGAGCTATAAACGCGCTATACACAAACAGACGAAGTGTACTGAGGGGTTCGTAAGGGGACATCACCGCGTCCATGATCAAATTTACTTTTACACATGCGGCTGTGGTTATCCATCCCTCAATACACAGCGATATCGTCCTCTCCAGCTGTGCTGCACGCGGTCACTGCATCATCGCGCGCTTTCAATGGGCTTCTGCGGCCGTCTGGAACGCTCTTCCTTCCGATAATAGAAAGCCACTGGGAGCTGTGCACTTTTAAATCTAAGTTGAAAACTTATTCCTTTAGGTTTGCGTTTCGTGTTTAGTTTGTTGTCCTTCCCCCGCACCTCCGATTAGCAAAGTTGGCTACGTACGGTGCGAAAGAAGTTGAACATACATACGTGGCCTGTAATCCAGCACTGTGGGGTACAGCAAGTGGACTAGTCGCCATCTTGTGGACGGTGGATGACTACGACTCTCTCGTGGACGAAGTCATTTGAGTAGAATCAGCCCTGCTGCAGGAATGTGGAATTGCCACACTGCAAACGGTAAAAATCCACTTTTAATGTTTGTTTAGTTTCTACAGTACTCCTCAAATTGCAGCACATGAATGATATTACTTAGCGCGTGTCAAATCTGACACAAACTCCACGCCCTAATTAATACAGAACCCTCACCACATCCGTTAATAAAGCCCTTGTCTCATACAATACGAAACCCTAGTCTCACTCATCATACATAATTCACAACCCTTTGTCAATCCACGGCTGGATGAATGCCTCCTCCCCAGGTGTGTGTGTGTGTGTTAGTCATTGGGTTGTTATAACCATGCTTCCCCAGACTGGTCTGCGTGGGTTGGTGAAGTCGGGGAGGGGGGAGGGGAGGGGGGAGGGGAGGGAGGAGGGGGGGTGAAGATCGGTTCAGATGCCACTCGCCGCGGACGTCAACCATGGCCGGGAGTTGAACTCAGGTGGGCGGGTTCCGTTAAGGACAATTAGCAAACCACTCTGCCACCCCTGCCCCCACCCTTCTCATTCGGGTGCCGCTTTGTGGCTCAGGGATCATGAGACAATGATGACATCCCCAAGATGCTCTGTTCAACACGGCACCGGACTGTCAAAATGAACACAAGCGTCGTTAACTTCTGCTCGATTCACGATCGACTACGGAGGAATGTGAGTGATGTATGCAATTACTCATTAGTTGCAGCCCGAATATAAATGTGCACAGCTACGTGTTGCTAAACGGGAAAGCCACCCCGGTACACAACAACACCAACCGTCGTTCACCACAAAGGGACGGTGACGTCACCACGGCGCTTGTGCCAGGCTAGGTGCACTTTGAGGCCACGTGTCAAAGTGTCGAAGACCCGCCAGGAGAAGGTGACGGAGCAGACCCAGCAGGTGCCCAGCGTTGACTGACCGAGCTGACTCGCAGGCGCACTGACTGTGCCTGCCACTCGCTGTGCCAACCTCGGTGCAGTCCACGCCACGTGTGGCGCTCAGTGGCGCCATGGAGCGTCTTGTGTGCTTACACGTTGTGACCGGTCGAAGATGTGTTTCACTTCATTTAGTCAAAGTAAAACCCATCCCGTAAGAGACAGAGCAGACAGGGCGGCTGCACGCAGAGAAATCAAAACAAAGCAGAGGTACCGGCTATGGCAATGAAGTCTGCAAGCACAAGTTTAAACACAAATAAAACTCACCGCCTTCCGCATTAAAAACTATAAACTATTTGTATTTGGCCAGGTAAGGGCCACTGAGCTGAATAGCGCCTTCTCAGAAGCGACGTGGCCATGGCAAGTGAAAGCTCGACGAAGCGGCTTCTCATCACAAGTGGACACGTATCGCAGCCAAAGACTCTGAATGTTCAATCTCAATGTTCATTCTCAATGTTCAATCTCAATGTTCATTCTCAATGTTCATTCTCAATGTTCATTCTCAATGTTCATTCTCAATGTTGATTATCAACGTGGAGGGGGAAACCGGAGGAGCCGGAGAAAAACTCCCCGCGACCACGGGGGGAGAGAGAGAGAGACGCAGACTCCAAGTATACAGCAGCAGGCGTCAGGGTCGGGATTGAACCCACGACCTCCTGTGTACCAGGCGAGGGAGTTAACATCTCCTAGCCACCGCGGCGCCCTAACAACGCCTTACAACAGAGAAAGGTTAACGTTTCGGCCGACGTACCTTTTCATAGTTCAGAGAGGGCAAAGAGATTGACTTATAGTTGGGGATAACACTTTATTTACCCTGTGTTGTCTTAAAACATTTGCAGAAACGTCACACGAATTTATTTTTAATGAAATTGACAGTTTTTTTCCTAACCAACTAAAAATTATTTTTAGCCCTTTCTCAATCCACTGTTCGATGAAGGCCTCCCAGAACTGTGTCCATCGTGGGGTTGTTTGACCATACTTCACCATACTCGTCAATGTTGGTTGGTGAACGGTGGGGTAGGGGTGGTGGGCCAGGCCCAGTTCACGCCACGGATATTAGCCAAGGCCAGGAATTGAACTTGGGTCGTCAGGTTCACAACGCTGCTAACGACCCATCCAGAACGAGTGACGGCTCACACAGCTTGAAGGTGCCTTGGACATCGTCTATGAAGTGGACTCGTAGAGCGATGCAGTTGACATGATGTGCAATATGCAACTTCACACAAGATAGCGCTCCTGTGCCCCCTTTCTGCTCTGAAGGAGGGATATGTCTCGAATCACTCGCCGAGCCGTTCACTTTTGTATTGTGAGCTCACACGGAGAGGTTGATGGCTCACATGGGCACGCGCGAAGGTTGCCACCTGTCCAGCTTGGACCCTGACATCCTGCGAACTGGCGTCTGTGTTAAGGTGGCAAGGATCGTTTGTGACCGATATCTGCCGGTATAGCGTTCAACTTTATTGCTGTCACAATGAATGCATCGGTTTGGTATCGATGAGAAACGTGTCCAGGTTTGGTCTGCGGATAGATGAACTCACACCGGGGGCGGGGAATCCTTTCCTGACTGTGGACAACATCGGACTTTGAGACACAACACCGTGGAACCACACATCGACACACACAGCTTAGAGCTATTCAATAATAATGTGCAAACGATTCTGGGTGAACTTTACAGGTGAATGAGCGCGCTAACATTAGAGACACGGTGTTAGTAGCAGGTTCAAAACATTGACCCCACCCGCCCGAGTACCCAATTAAGTAAGTATTGTTTGTGAGTAATGTTTGTGAGTAATGTTTGTGAGTATTGTGTGTGAGTATTGTGTGTGAGTATTGTTTGTGAGTATTGTGTGTGAGTATTGTTTGTGAGTAATGTGTGTGAGTATTGTTTGTGAGTATTGTTTGTGAGTAATGTTTGTGAGTATTGTGTGTGAGTATTGTTTGTGAGTAATGTTTGTGAGTATTGTTTGCGGGCTGTTTACAAGTTGTAGGCCTCTTCGCCTGACCGTGGGCCGTGTGGAGTGACACGGCCATGGCCCATCGGGTCCCCACCCGTGAGATGATGAATCTCTGCAGGCCGTCAGCTGCTTAAATAAGAAGTTGCTTCGTGTGCGCTGTCACTATGCACGCGGTGGCGGCACCAGGACTACACAGATTTAGGAAAAGTCGAATGGATCCAAGCAGCTCAAGGGGACCCCTGTGAAAAGAAGTTGCGCCTCGGCCTTCAAGTTCTCCCAGCCGAGACGGCACTCGGCTCCAAGCTGGCACGAGCTGTCTGTCGGCAGGCCGGGGCCACTCACGGACAAGACGCCAGGCTGCAGGTCGACGCGCGTGGCGAGAAAGCGCTCCACCCCATGCCGTCGTCCACACAGGCGGTGGAAAACGCCGCGTGGAAGTCCAGCGAAGCCACCGACAACTTCGGCGTCATCCCTCAAGCCACGTTGGAAGAGTCGGACATGGACGAGCGAGGTGCGGGTGGAGGAGCTGAAGGGATAGTCGTCACCGCCGGCCCGGTGCGTGCGAGCGGGAGGAGTCTGAAGGATGTTCGCCACAGGAAGACGCCGCTTCCTCTCCCCCCCCCCTCTCTCCCCCTCTCTCTCTTGCTCCACGTCTTCTTCTGACGTTGCACCGTCCCTGGGAGTCTTTGTCGAGCCATCGACGAGCCGGAGCACGGCCCATGAGCGAGTCCTCTACGCGGGACTCATCATGTTGTAGACCATGCTGCACAGGGGACACGGGAGGGGGGGGAGGCGGATGTCATCACAGCTGCCTGACGCAGACGAACGGCGCGTGTCTGGATGTTTGGCCACCGCAGAGAAAAGCGAATTTCGTGATTTGCTTCAATCCACCGACTGGCGAGCGAGCTTCTGCCCCAGCGTGTTTAGCTTCTATTGGATCCTCACAATTGATGGAGTCTATTGCGTTCGTATATGTCTGGTAATATTGCGTGATTTTAGTTTATCGATATTATTTTTGGATTCTATTAGTCTATCTGACGTATTTATACCGGGGTCAATGAGTATATCACTGGGTTCCATTCGTCTCCATTAGGTTCTATGTGTCTCTGTGTTCGCGTGTATTAGGTTTGTTTGTTTTCAACTCTATTGGTATTGGTTTGAGTGTAAAAATGTTGGGTCCGTTTAGTCTATTAGTGTTCAATTCCATGATTACATTTCTATTGAATTCTGTTCATACGTTAGCATTGCTTTTGCTACTCCATTAGCATTGAGTTTTTAAGTCTATTCATATAGGGTTGTATTGAGTTGTAGTCTGTGAATGTTGAGTTATATAACTTAACATCTGCGAAAAAGAGCTTTATAGTTCATCAGATTCCTCCAGTATAAATACAGCCACTGACTCGGATATTCGTATGCTTGTTTTGATTTCTTTCAGGACGTTAAGCGTCGTGCCCCATTGGCTGGAGGAGGCTTCTGCTACACCACAGCTGCACCACAGCTGCACTACAGCTGCACCACAGCTGCACCACAGCTGCACCACAGCTGCACAACAGCTGCACCACAGCTGTGCAGCTGCACAGATCCCGCACTCGGCGTGTGGACAGCACTGAGCCCAATCTCCTGAAGGAATCAATTAGTTGCAACAAAATCACCGTCCTGCCATCAATATTTTGCTCCCGATCGTTATCCCCGCCGCGGTAGGGCAGCGATCTCAGACGGCCCCATGCAGTCGGTCCTTAGTTTTGAGGGTGTATCGCTCCGCACCTCCTACTAGCACGGTGGGTTACGTACGGTGCGAAAGAAGAAAACATACATACACACGCTAGCTCCTGTTGGTCTCACCCGCTTCGGAATCTGCTTTGTATTCCGAGTTTTTGAATGTCAATTTTAATATCCATGTATCTCTCTCTCCAGACCCACTGGACGCCTGTGCGCCCCGCTCACTTGTACAGGTAGTAGAAGTAGGAGAGCAGGTAGAAGCCCAGCTTGCACCAGCCCTCTCGGCGGCAGTACGCCAGCACCTCGGCTTGTGTCGCCGTGCCGGGGTCGTGCGTGGCGTCCGCCGCTGATTGCTTGCCCGGGCTCTGCATGAACCTGGGTGTTGTTGTCCACACACAAGACAATTGAGATCCCCCGTGTAGTACTTAACAGACTGTTGGAGCAAGTGCTGTTTGCGATTAGCACCGATGAAAGCCGACACGGCACACGAGATGAAAAAATAAAAATAATAAAATGAAAATAACTCAATTAAATCACGATGTTTCGGAGGCAACACAAGCTTCCGTCATCAGGTCGAAGAGCCACAGAAAAATTATTCACTATTCACTACAGTAATTTTGCTGTGGCTGTTCCACCTGATGACGGAGACTTGTGTTGCCTCCGAAACGTCGAGATTTTTTATTATTTAATTTTTTATTAATTTTAATTTAATTTTTTACCTACGTGACTTTACCGAAAAAACTAAGAGTATGAATCCTTGCAGTCACGAAAGCTTAAAATCTAGAATTAACACCCATACATGCCCACACACACACACCCATACATGCCCACACACACACACACCCATACATGCCCACACACACACCCATACATGCCCACACACACACACACATACATGCCCACACACACACACCCATACATGCCCACACACACACATACATGCCCACACACACACACATACATGCCCACACACACACCCATACATACATGCACGCGCGCACACACACACGCCCACGCGCGGGCACGAAGACTTCACCTCCAGCTGTGATAGCAGAACAAGGGGAGGTTGACAGCAAGGGCCAGCCACTCCAGAGCGCACAGGAACATCACGCAGAAGAGGCAGTGGATGAAGTACTCGGGTAGCGCCAGCTGCTCGGGACGAGAGGGCGGCACGAGGGCGCAGGGCTCAGACAGGCGTCGTGGCGCACGGCAGTGATCCGGAACTTTCTGTTGTTTTCTGCAAGTCGATCTTTCTCAATTGTACCCCATAGTGCTCTTGCAGTCGTGGCACGCAGGATGAATAGATGAACACCGAGACAGGATGAGGATCCCTCCACAACTCTGGCTGTCGCCTGATGAGGTTGGTTATAATTACCGGCTAAAACATCACAGTTCTCGGATTGTTCATGTGGTGGGTTTACTCTCATTGGCACGTTCTGTTCACGTGACACACACGTTCTGTTCACGTGACACACACGTTCTGTTCACGTGACACACCTTACTAATTGGCTGTGTCGGGTGGTGGTGGGTTCACAGACACATTTATATTTACACGATATAACCCAACAAAAACCTCTATTATGTATGATATTGGTCGCGAAAGCCTACTACGACTACGACGTGTTAAACTGAGGATGAAAACTCTACTCCAAGCTCTCAGAGCAGCACATGTCGTCGTGTTGGTAATTGTCCCACGGAGACAAATGTCGTAGAGATCACTTTTCAACCGAACTCTGGCCCGCACAGTAAATGGAAGCAGCAGCGTCCCAACCTCTGCTGCATCAGAGTAATGGGCGTCGCATGGCACTCAAATCAACGTTTAGTTCTCGTAGCTCGAATTGAGCGACATTAAGTGCAGAAGGAAATGTAACATCACGTGTTGTTGTGTGTGTGTGCATTCACCGGTGACCGGGCTGACATCATCAACGCACGCGACCTAAGAACACGATTACATCACTGGCGGATGCCTGGACATCATTAGTGCCAGCTGAGCGATGTGTGTTACGCCTCAGCCGTGCGCTCCCATCCAGTGCTTTGAAGGCAAATCTTGGAGGATCGTATCAATCGATGAAACTCCTGGACCCGCGAGTCTGCAAGGTGGCCAAGTGCGCCATGGGCGCGTCTGTGCAGGAGCGCTCTGCCCCTGTGTGTGTGTGCGCGGCTTTCTCCCAGGGTAGTCGGATTTCCTTCCACTCACAGCAGCAAAAAAACGTCTTGACTATCAAGTGGACAGACGTCTCAATGCAGGGTCGTCACTGAGACTCGATGAGGCTTTCATGGATATTTGCTATAAAAAAACACAACAACAATAACCTGTAGATCGCCCATTGAAGCACTATGCAGGCTCAATCCTGCTGAGCTGCTAAACTCGGATGCGATCAAGCACATTCCGGGCAATGTGCTCATCGCCCTTTGCCAGCTTTAGGTGGTGACCGATTGTTGTGCTGGTCAATGAATTGAGTGGAAAGTTTAAGTTTAAATCGCGCAATAAAAACGGCTGCGTGTGGCTGAGAATTGTGGACGTACTTTGGTACCAAGTAAACATTTACGAGAAAAAAATACCAAGTTTTGTTTTACAATATCTGAATATAAAAGGTCCGTTTTATATTTCAGTCAATCGGCGTACGTGCCTTGTGGACGCAACATTTCCCAGCAACATCAGCGTAAGCGGTGAACTCGGGACGCAACGTCTGTGCTGCGCGATGAACGTGTTGCCAGGCGGCAAGCCAGAGCATCGTGTCGTCGGCAACGTGTTCACGCCACGGCCACGTCGCGTGAGGCTGTGGCCAGGCCGCTGCTGCGCTTCGCAGACGACGGCGGCGGCAGCCTGCGCGGGTCTCACTGCTGACTCAGCGGCAGAATGAGCGGGTCGCAGTCGGAAGGTTGCGAGTTCAAATCCTGGTTGGGGGTTCACTGAGCCCGATCGTCACGCTGGGGCCGATGGAGCGAATGCTACTTTGTGGGGAAGCCCACAGCAATTGACCTGTGATTAGACTCGCCCCTGCCAAGTTTACACCACTGGCTTGGGGCTGGAAACAGGAAAAAGCCCTCATTGGAGCAAGAAATCACTTTGACTTCGACATTGAGTTTCACAATTGGGGACGATATTCCGACGTGGCTCTACCCAATTAGATAATTGGTGAATACGCAACGCAATTCTATATTTGAGCATTGGCAAAGCGGAATTCCAACGAGGCCGTTTATTCATCCCAAAAAATAATTGGGCATCAAATCCCAGCGCAGGGCCCCACTAAAGGGGTATCTTGAGACCCAGTCTTGTTCTCCTGGATACATAAGTTGAATTTAATTCTTTACTTTTCCTTTGCAGAGTCAACTTGCAAACATGCGCTTAAATAAAGACAACAGATGTTCTATTTGAGCTCTCAGTTTTGGGTATTGGAGGTCTCAGATCCGATGTCAAGTTTGGCAGCAACCGTGTCCACCAGCTGGGCACTTTGAGCTGTCGAGCTACTTACTAGTGAAACTCAATAACTTGTAACGCGCTGCACGACAGTCACTAGAGAGAGGACGACTGAGAGGCGCGAGGGGGAACCACAGACAAGTGGGGAGTAGTCGCCGGGCACCAACAAGTGGCCCAAGCTCTGCGGCCTTCGACATAATAAGATGTTTTCTTACAATTAAGTGCAAAGATGAACACGACAATTACACGTGATTAATGTGCGTGTGTGTGAGCAGTTTTAACTGAAGCAAATGCACTTTTCAAATCTGTCTGGATGTGCACATGAAGTTGTTGGTAAATGCACGCCGATTTCGCACATTCTGTCCTCCTACTCCCTCGAGTTGTCGATTGGGCAGATGGCTGTGAGTATCTGCTTGTGTTTACATGCATGTGTGTAGGAGAGCGGTGGCGCAGCAGTTAGGAGCAGTGCACTTCGAAGCCACCGGACCCGAATTCGATTTCCACTCACGGCCAACACCAGGGACGGATATCTGAACCGGTCATGAGTCTCCCCAAGGTCTACTCAGCCTTAAATTAGTACCTGCAGCTGCGGTGTGTCAATATCAGCACTGGGGAGACAAAAGCGGCCACGCGTGGAAGTGGCCACACAGCCTTAATAGATGCTCGCAAACAGCACTTGCTCCAACAGTCGTTGAAGGCTGTTGGAGCATCTATTAAGGCTGTGGTGAGCTTTGGGGAGGGGGTGGAATCTTTGTCTTTGCTTCTCCACTGTGAATCACGCTACACGTGTTTGCCTGGGAATGAGCGCCACAACTTTAGGTGACAACCCAATTTCACGACCGGGAAGAAAAGGGTGTAAACACGGGGCCTTTGCCCCGGCCACTGCCTCCCAGGAGGGCCTCGGCGTAAGACGCACCGTGTCTGCAATATGCCTCTCCGCTCAGAGTGACGCTCCTCTCGTGAGATCGCGTGAGATGCATAGCGGCCAGCCACCTGCCTCGCTCCCTCCCTCGCTCGCTCCAGGAAACACGAGCTCCCAGTTGGATTACATCTTTTTGATTTGCAACAAAACGCTGCTAGGTTTCAAATAACGTGCCGCACGGATGGAAAAAATAAATAATGTATATCGACGCACACCAAATGATGTGTGCGCTAGTGTGCGTGGTGTCGCTAGTGTGCGTGCTCATGTGTGGCGTGGTGTCGCATTTTTAGGGATCTCAAGGTTATGGGGGGGGGGGGGGGGCAAGCTCACGCCTCCATGGTGAGATCTGCCACTGACTCTGTCGCCGCGCCTGATGATGATGATAGTGATCGTTCAAGAGGCAGACCAAGACGCGTGCAAGCCTTGCCCTTGAGGGACTCGGTGCCCAGTTTGCGATTGTCCGACAGTTGGAATTGGTCTGAGCAGCACAGGGTGAGTAATGACAGATGGTGGGCAGCCCAGCATGCATTATCAGCCGGGCCTGGGGCCCATGGTGATTCCACTAAACGGGAGTCCCTGTTTACAATACCAGGCTGTTTGGCAGTGATGCGCCTGCAATCCAGCGAATTTGACAAGGTCACACAGAGACAGGGTTTCTGTGAGGCACCCACCAGCACAACAAGAAGGTACCCACAAGAGGTAGTTCTCTGACTATCTAGATGAGGATATCTTTGGTAATTATATCACTCAGCGAAAGACAATTCAAACGGAGAGACACGAAGAGGAACACAAAGACACAGAGAGCCATACAAAGACACAGAGAGACATGGGCACAGAGTGAGACATAGAGATGAACAGAGAGACAAACAGACGTGTAAAGAGACATACAGATATAGAGTTGGATTAAAGTAAACAACGGAGAGACAGATGGAGAATAATGAAGAGAGACATGGAAAGAGACAGCGACAGAGAGACAAATGGGTAGAGGCACGTAGAGGAAACATACTGACAGAGAGACACACACGGAAGTAGCAGTTTCATTTTCCACAACACACAACCAGATGTCATTATTTATCACTGGATCCTACATTTACAGCGATATGACTCATAGTGAAGGGGCCAATACTAAATTAACATTTTACAAGGTAAAGCCACTGAGCTATCGCCTCTTATTCAGAGGCGATATGGCCACACACGATAGCTCATAGAAGTGGCTCATCGTCATCAACATCATCGTCATCAACATCATCATCATCGTCATCATCGTCATCATCATCATCGTTATCAACATCATCATCATCGTCATCATCGTCATCATCATCGTCATCATCGTCATCATCATCGTCATCATCATCGTCATCGTCATCATCGTCATCATCATCATCATCATCGTCATCATCATCATCGTCATCATCGTCATCATCATCGTCATCATCATCATCATCGTCATCATCGTCATCATCATCGTCATCATCATCATCATCGTCATCATCGTCATCATCATCGTCATCATCATCATCATCATCGTCATCATCATCGTCATCATCATCATCGTCATCATCATCATCACCGTCATTATCGTCATCATCATCGTCGTCATCATCGTCGTCATCATCACACGTGGGAATTTATAGTCGTAGACAAATATTCTCTTCCGCACGTTTCGAAATGTGGAGGGAACGCCCGGAGGATCCTGGAGAATATATCCACGAGACCAGCACGAGAAGAGACCTTGCAAACTTAAAAAGATACACAGCGACGTCTACTGTACACATGTATTTACGAAAGCAGAGGATACCAGTAAAT